CCCACCCGAAGCGATGATGGCGATGCAACAGCAAGAATCGTTGACTGTCAAAGGAACACATGACGAAGAGGAGCTTTTCACAGGTATTCTTTTGGAAAATACTTAAAACCGATGTTGGTCGAAATAAAATGAGGACAACTCACGACACAAATGCAAACTATAAAGCTTCGATGCCAGCCAGATGGACTGATGGCTGTCCTAGATGGACTGAAGCGCAAGCTATTTGCAGTTCACTTCATAGTGTATTGTAACTTGCTTGCGCTCCAATCCATCTAACAATAAGACAGGCATCTAATCGCTTTCAATAACTATGTTGGAGTAAAATATCTATTACTATATGGCAGATTTACATTTTACCTCCTGTACAGATGTCGTATGCTTCGGCTCTCGTGAAGTTGCCCGTCTTCTGACGTTAGGCATCGATGTCGGTGTGGCCGATCTATCCATCACTACCAGATGTGAACTCGCTGCATTGCTCGATCCACCCGATGCCATGGGAAGGGACTGGTCGATACTTGCAGTCAAGTTGCACTTGACGGATCAAGTACCGGAGGTATGTACACCATATTACAGCCTTTTTTACAGATTATAAACGAGGCGCCGGCGGTTAGCGATACGCAGACAATAAAGGCACTTTATTTTTGTTTTGTACATTCTTCACGCCTGCGAATCTGTGCGATATGATCATATCGTCTGGCTGTCGCTGTTTTTCGTATTTTTTTACGAAAATGTCAGTTACCCTTCTATAGGTAACACAGGCGCCGCTCGCGTCAGTAGCCACCAAAGGTAAATTCTATTCAGCCGGACAAATCCTCCCTTTTCAGGTCGACTCCACTGGACAGTCTCTTTCGCGGACGGATCAGCTCTTAGCTGAATGGGCTATTCAGCAACCGGAGCACGCCACCGTTGGACGGCTATGTGAGATTCTGGCCGAGTTGGGTAGATCGGATGCACGTGACACACTCTATCGTACGGTACCATTATACCTGTTCGCACCGCTCGACGACACTGGCGTACATCCTACGGATTGCGGTGATTCCGGTGTAGTGTCGTCGTGTCATTCCACAGGTAACCCACGAACAAGTTCCATATCATGACTCCCCAAATGACCAAATACGCCACAGGGTGGCGGACAACACGGGTAGACGCCGCTGATTCCGACTTCTCCCCTTTTTTTNATATAGAAGAAGTCGCGCTTCTCACAAAACTGTCTACAGGATAAATAAAAGTATGAGTTTCTTTTTAGGAACATCACAAAAATCCTCCTTCATTCCCACCAGAAGCGATGATGGCGATGCAACAGCAAGAATCGTTGACTGTTAAAGGAACACATGACGAAGAGGAGCTATTCACAGGTACCCTCTGGGAGAATACTTAAAACCGATGTTGGTCGAAATATAATGAGGATAACTCACGACACAAATGCAAACTATAAAGGTTCGATGTCAGTTAGATGGACTGATGGCTGTCTTAGATGGACTGGAGCGCAAGCTAATTACAGTTCACTTCAGAGTGAACTGTAACTAGCTTGCGCTCTAGTCCATCTAAAACAGCCATCAGTCCATCTAAGACAGGCACCTAATCGCTTTCAATTACTATGTTGGAGTAAAAAACCTATTACTACATGACAGAATTACATTTTACCCCCTTTACAGATGTCGTATGCTTCGGCTCTCGTGAAGTTGCCCGTCTTCTGAC